TACAAAGAAAAGAAAGGTTTGCAATCTAAAGTGAGGTTGAATATCTTCTTGTCTTTCAGGCTTAAAGGGAATCCTATATGCTTGAGCGGAAGTTTAGTTCAGTTCTGTAAATCTCAAACTGAGAATGAAACTAGAATAAGCACTGCAACAAACTCCCCCACCATTGAGTGTAAACCACAATCATGCCCTTTTGAGTATTCCCTAACATCTCCTTTAGATTGCTTTTGTGCCGAGCCTTTGCTAATAGGATTTCGGTTGAAAAGTCCTGGCTTTTCAAATTTTATTCCATATAAAAAAATGTTTGAGGGGTACTTGACTGAACATCTCAGCTTGTTTGTTTATCAACTCTATATCTATTCATTTGCTTGGCAAGAAGGACCACGACTGGGAATGTACTTAAAGCTCTATCCTATCTATGATAACACTACCAACACTCATTTATTCAATCAAAGTGAGATTCAACGAATCAAGAGCATATTCACCAGATGGAAGATCCCTCTTAATGACATATTTGGACCTGTAGAACTTATAAACTTCACTTTGTCAAATGTTTATAAGGATGGTTTGCTTCACAACTTCCTCTCTTGCTTAAGAAGATATATCCGTAACTTTCATTTTTTTTTTATATAAAACAATTCTTATATTATCATATAATGTTGCAGAGTCCAGCCTTTCTTTATCAACAGGCATAAGTAAAGGAACATTGGCCGGCATTATACTAGGGACCTTTGTTGGTGCAGTTACATTATCTGCAATCATTTCACTTATTATATTCAAAAGGCGCCTGAGGGACTATCATGCAGGTTCAAAACAACGTCAAAGTGAGTATCTTAAACTTTGTGATGATAGGGTGTGCAAGTTGATTGTATTTATTATTATATGTGTGGACTATACTTCTTTCCAAATTGACTATCTATGAAAAATAATTTTTTTCCACATAGATAAATCTTGATGCTCTTATGATTTTTTTTCATTAATCATAAGAACACTGTACTAGTTACATTTTCATTTTTCCTACAAAGCAATGAATGAAATTGCATTATATTTAGCTGGTTGTTACTTAAATACTAAGAAAGAAGTCATGTTTTTTGGCCTCTATTTAGTTATTCATCTTGCTTTAGATTCATTTCAAATTTGAGTCATTGCAAAACACTTCCTTTTATGCAAATATATCTTATTCATCTCTTAGAAATTTTTCAAGAAACAAAAAAAAAAAAAAAACATTCTTTCAATAGCACTTAGTTTTGTTCAAACATTTAGAGACTTGTTTTCTTGTATAGCATCTAGAGCCTTGTTAAAAATTGATGGTGTCAAGAGTTTCACATATGGAGAGCTGGCTTCGGCAACAAACAATTTTGATATCTTTGCTCAAATTGGCCAAGGTGGATACGGAAAGGTTTATAGAGGCACTTTAGCTAATGGCACGATTGTGGCTATAAAGCGTGCACAAGAAGGGTCATTACAGGGTGAAAAGGAGTTTCTAACTGAAATACAATTGTTGTCAAGGTTACATCATCGAAACCTTGTTTCTTTGGTTGGTTATTGTGATGATGAAGGTGAACAGGTACTTTGTCTCATGTCTTTTAAAAATTTTGATTGATATTGTATTTTTTTTCTCCCTAGCCATAAATGGTTTGAGAAATAAATGTATGGAGGGGCAAAAGATATAATTTCAATGTTTTATTAGCCTAATTATGATAAAATATTGGAAAGAAGAACTGTCACTAAAGAGGGAATTTGATTAACCAACTTAATATATGGATAGAACTTCATGCCTATTGTCATTTGTTAATTGAAATTTATTATCACATTCGATTGTTGCTGTCAACAGATGTTAGTGTATGAATATATGTCTAATGGCACTTTGCGAGATCATCTTTCAGGTAAACCTTTGAGTTTAAGAAATGCAAAATGACAACCTTTAATTCTATATGCAAATATTGTAATCCTTAGTATAATGTTTTATGTGTATGGTACTGCATGCAGGAAAGATTAAAGAACCTCTGAGTTTTGCAAGGAGGTTGAGAATAGCTCTTGGTTCATCCAAGGGAATCCTCTACCTACACACAGAAGCTGATCCTCCTATATTTCATCGAGATATCAAAGCCAGCAACATATTATTGGATTCTAAATTTGTCGCAAAGGTTGCTGATTTTGGACTTTCACGACTTGCTTCAATGCCTGATATTGAAGGTGCAGCACCTACTCATGTGTCTACTGTTGTAAAAGGGACTCCAGTAAGTATTTCATGTGAATGAAATTAAATTAGAAACTTCTTTATACATATTTTTAATATTTGTAATAAAAGAGATGGAATTCAAATACTGTATATACTAATATATGACAATCAGCATTGGTTCACAACTATATATCGCTAATATGGTATCTCATTATTTAAATATTTTGTATGTTAAATGTAGGGTTACGTTGATCCAGAATATTTCCTAACGCAAAAGTTGACAGACAAGAGTGATGTATATAGCCTTGGTGTTGTGTTTTTAGAGCTTTTAACAGGGATGCAACCAATTTCACGTGGCAAAAACCTTGTTCGAGAGGTAATATATAGCTTTCCTTCTCTTTTGCTTGAAATTAATTGCCTTTCATCACTTTTAGACCAACTGAACATTTGTACTCTCTCTCTCTCTCTCTTTCTCACACACACACTAGGTTAACATTGCATATCAATCTGGTATAATATTCTCGGTTATTGATGGGAGAATGGGTTCATATCCTTATGAATGTGTGGAGAAGTTTGTGAATTTGGCCATGGAATGTTGCCAAGATGAGACAGATTCAAGACCTTCGATGGCAGAAGTGGTCCAAACTCTGGAAACTATAGGGTTGATGACGCCAGGGTACTCCAACCCCTTGGTAGCAGAATCCATGGAAGGTGACCCAAGAAAGACATCTACTACTCCACCTTCGTCATCCTCTATGGTGAAGAATCTGTACACATCCTCATATGTTTCCGGTAGTGACCTTATTAGTGGAGCAACTCCCACCATCACGCCTAGATAAGATAAGACCGTACAACACAACTTGTTCCTGCTCTGATAAGTCTCTAACTCTTACTATTGTTGTATATTTGTATTGGTTTCCTCATTTCTACTACTGTATAGTTAGTTTTTCACACCATTAAGCCACATCATTCATCATTTGCGTAAAATACAAAAAT